TTCTAGATTGTATTCTGATTTACTAAAGAAACAGCATGTTTTCTAATCAACAATTTTATATTTTCAATCCTGCCCCTACCAAGGATAGCATATGAAATGAGAAGACAACTCTATTTATCTGCCTCTATCCTGACCTCTTCCTTCTTTACCTCGCAGCTCCTGCTAGGGAGTCAGGATGGTCAATTAGGTATTTGAATTTATTCCTTCGAATAGGGTGGTGCCAGACATGGTCTACAGCACGTGGAAGGGTACCCGGGTAAAAAGCAAAAGCACAGAAATGTCCAGCAGAGGGCGCACTAGTCAAATGAAATATTAACTAATTTTGAATATTTACATTAGGGGAATTTGGATACTCCATGGAATAAAGAAAGAAAGAACTTATTCAATAACGTGGACAAAACTGAAACTAGGATAATTCCATAATGGATGAATATATTAAAACTGATGAGTAGTAATAATCATTTTGGTAAATTTACATAAAAACAGGTTAATGGAAACAAGCTTTGGAAATATTGGTGTAAAAGATCTACGCTTTCAATCGAGAAAATTACTTTCAAAAAAATTTTAAGACCATCTGGAATACTTAATATATGCACACACTTAATGAAGCAGATAACAAAAAGATAATGTTCCTAAGTACTCTACATACATACACATGCACCTTAGGGGTTTTAACTTTCGTAGGAGGCAGTAAATTTTCTGGACAAGGACCAGCACTGGTGGCAAAGCTCAGAGAAAGCAGAACTTCCACAGGGATGAACTCATTCTGAAGGGAAATAGGAAGAGGTTTGGAAATAACCACCATATTTTTTTTCTCCCTTACGTCAGGAAGTCCTAAGAAAGTAATGAGAAAGAAAAGCTCTTATTGTAATTTTTTCAATGGAGCATCCTAGAATGCCTTATCATCCTCATCTATCTGTTTCTAAAAGAGAGAAACACTCCTTCTAATTGACAAGAATAGTAACAAGTAATACTTAAAACACTGCATAAGAGAAATATATGGGCTGCCCTATTCACATCACATCAGACACAGGTTCAAAACCTCAGGTGCAAAGATAAACCTGAATTATACAAAATTCAAAGTTGAAAATTATACTCACTTCACTTAATTAACTGGGATAGTCTTAAGATGATGGGAATGAACATCTGTTTTTTCCTTTGATGTAAAAATGACAAAAGAAGCCTCTCCTCCAAATTGCTAGATTATTTAGTAATTTTTCTTCTATAAATTTAAAGGCAAAAATAATTGCATTGCACTGAGGTTGGGAGGGACCTGAATTGAGTTCAAAAATAAAAGTAGGAACTGGAATATATCTCATGATAGACTGCTTAACTGGAATGCACAAAACCCAGGGTTCAACCTCTGGCCAAAAGAAAATTAAAAGTAGATCTGGGATGGTGGGAAATTAAAAGTGGGACAATCTAAGCAAATCATTGCAACAAAAACTGTAAAAAATAGTTCTACTCAGCTTAACTAGGGCAGAGGAATGAAAAAAATGGTTAGGAGGTCTAAGGTTGGAAAAGGCCTTCTATGAATTCAGTCAGTAGAGTTGAGCTGCCACCATTTTTAATGCCTCCCACATAGAACATTAATTTCTATAAGGAAACTTTGATTTTAAAAAACCTTGAAGGTTTATATTATCAAATCGAGAGAGAGAGAGAGAGAGAGAGAGAGACTACCTTTTCCACTTTAAAGATTCGGGTGACTAGGTTGGGCTCACTCTGACAAACCAGGATTTCCTCCATCTCAGGGTCCTGAACCTTTATCACACTGCAAAATCCTTTTTGCTACATAACGTATGCAGTCACAAGTTAAGGAATTAACAGTGAGAGAGAAAGAGAAAGGGGGAGGGAAGTGCTGGGTGGGACCTTAGCAAATCTCCCCTAAAAACTAGGGAAGGTAAGGTTAGACAAAGCTTTGTCCTAAAAAGGGGAGGGGTGACTCTAGCTAATTCTTATTCTGGTACAGATCTGCAATTATATCTATATACCTATCTATATCTATCTATATCAATATATTCTATATATTGAAGTACTGAAGATATTAACTCAGGGCCTTCCTGAGCCACATCCACATAGGCCCATAGGCCTTTTTAATTTTTTTTTTTTTGAGACAGGATCTTGCTAAATTGCTGAATTTGGGCACCAATGTGCCATCCTCCTGCCCCAGCTTCTCAGAGTGCTGGGATTAAATACTCTTATTTAGAAAAACTAATAAAACCTGATACAGTCATTTTGTATTAACTTGCATGTGTTATACCATTTCCACTATTTTTTGGTTTTTGCTTTTGAAACAGGGAGGCTGTGTCAGAGGACCACTGGGATCAAGCCTGGCCAACACAGAGAGACTTCTTCTTAGAAAACAAAAAGATAAGGAAAAAAAATATATATATATATACAACATCTGAATCTGATTTTTAAAAATGGTGACTGGATTGTGATTTGTCAGTTGCTGTTATTAGGCAGGTGCGGGGGTGGCATGGTACTGGGGATCAAATCCAGGGCCTTTGCACTGAGCTGCATTGCCAGCCCTCTTTTGTTTTGTTTTATTTTGATTGGTTTGTTTTTTGAGATAGTATTTGATAAGTCGCTAAACTGCCTAAAATGGGCTGGAATTTACGTTCCTCCTACCTCAGCCTCCTAGAGTGCTGGGATTACAGGCGTGTGCCACCACACCCAGCAATGACTGTAATCATTTGTCTTTGGGATCCTTGAACTTTACCTCTTGTCTCCTTGACCGCAGATACTTTTGACTTCCTAGGGTCATAAGATGCTGGGGAGTTTAACGGTGAGGCTGGCGTTTTCGGGAGAGACATAATAATGCTTCCCATCACCCATTTTAGTAATGTGACATATTCCTCCAGAAAGATAACTCAGATATAAATCAGTCTGCTACTGGCACTTCTGGGACTTTCAGGTTACTACACTGTCCTGTAGGTAAAACACAACAAACAAAAGACTCATTAAAGTGCTTATGTTTAGACTGGAGTTTCAGAATCCCTCTTCCATGGTTTACCCTCTTTCAGACACCTCTGTGCTCTCTCAGGCCATCTGTCCTGACTCAGAAGCTTGCAGGTGCGTCAGGGTCCGGGAAGAGGCCGGGAAGGACACACCCGCACACCCTACCCGATGACCCTACACACTGGCCGCCGCCATCTCGGTGGCGCGTTCTAGGCAGTCAGGGACCCCACCCTCTCCCACAAGTAGTGCCCTTGCGGACTAAGGGGTCTGGCAGCACTAGGGCTTTCATCGTTTCTTCATTTAAACCGATGGGAAATGGACACTTGCAACCGGTACCAGCAAAATGTGTTTCCCGCACGGCGCCGGCAGCCCCCCCTTTCCCGGAATGCCTTGCGTGGTCATAGAAACCTAGGACCCCGAGCGCTAGCAACGCTCAATAGGGGCTGCCTTCGGCGGTGCCGGCAGAAGAAAGGGAGCGGTGAAAAACAATCCCTACTCTTTCGGATTTTCAGTGTGTGCTAAGTCACAGCATAGTTTCAATAGAAATAGAGAAGAAAATGATTAACTAGGCCATTGTCTCGGAATCCCAGGGTCTAGCTCTCAGGGCAGCGGACCAGCAGGCGCGAGCAAGGTCATTTCCAGTGCCTGAAAAACACTTATGATTGTTGTATTTCAACAAAGAAGCAAACCATAAAAAATGGTTTGAAATGTGCAAGAAAGAAATTCGTTCATAATACATTAAAAATAGTGCTGTCACAGAACAGGAAAACTCTTCAGGGTGTCTCTCCACACATGACCACAAGAGGGCGAACGTGCGCCACTGTGATTACATAGAGGGCTCTGCATGTGTCTGGATAGAATGTTCAGGGCTGCAGACTGGTCCTAGGCATTATAATTGCTGCTTCCTTATTCATTGTCATAGCTTATGTTTTCACCTGGGAATAATTTCATACCTTTCTCACTGCCCATTTTTCCAGTAGAATCCCATCCTTAGGGCAATGAACAATCAGGCAAGTCTCAGAATCACCTAATGGTCAATGACGGAATTGTTTGAAACCCAGCTCTGCCCTCATATTCAGCAACATGCATGTCCTGTGCAGGTCTGAGGAAATGACTCACGAGGTACCTACACTTGAACAGGACCTTTCTAATGAAGGAAAGGGACCATGGACCTCGTCCCTGGAGTATGAACTACTCACACTGCTGGGTGTCAGGAGGACAGGGATCAAAGTGGTCCTCATCCAGGTGGAAAAAGTACAAACCTGTGTTCCCCACAGTCTATCAGACTCACACTTGCGCACAGCGACCGTCTCCTCTTGGTTTCCGAGACCAGACTGATACGATCTAACTCTCCAGCTCTTTAGGAACTGTGGGCACATTCTGCCAATGACTAAAAATGACAGGCAAAAAGAGTGGACTGAACCCAAACCCTGTACATTCAACTTCTTCCCCAATCTTTCCTCTTTTGTAATTTTGAGACAAGATGTTTCCCAGCCTGGGCTCAAACTTGTGATCTTCCTGAGTCAACCTTCTCAGCCACTGGAATTACAGGTCTCTGCCACCTAACCTCGCCCAGCTGATTGGTACTTTGTAAACTTCAGTCATGTGTCATTTCATAAACGTGTAGGTTGTTAGAAATACAACATGAAGCAGTTTTGTTTTTTTCCAAACATCATAGAGTGGATTTACACAATCTAAGATGGCTGAGATATCACCAGGTGATATGATCTGTGAGACCATCACGGTACACCTGGTCTGCCACTAATGGAAACATTGTTATGCAGTACATGCCGGTCTTAACATAGTAGTTTATGTTGATAAAATACTTTAATAAATATTTAAGCTAAAATCTTTTAACATGCTGTTTATAGTAAATTTTATATTTTCTTACTCAGGATATTTGGCTTAATTATAATTAATATTGGCTTGCAATTTCTTTTCTTGTACTATATTGGTTGGGTATGAATATCAGAGTTTTAATTTAAAATATATTTGTATTCTTTATTCCTTTTTGATTATATAGACTACATTCCTTAATAAAAAGAAAATTAAAATAAATTGGAGAGCTTATTATCATTCCGCCTGCTATGGACAAGCTTTTAGAAACATGCAGCTTGAAAATATGTTAAGTTACATAAATCAGACACATATACCTAACTACCATATGGCTTCTCTCATTGGGGAGATAGGTAGTATGGAGAAAGAGCAAAGTGAAAGACAGATTAAAGGAAAAAGGGAGAGAGATCTTTTCAAATAAGAAGAGAACCAAGAGATGCAGGAAGAGAGGAAAGGGATGTAAAAAGAATTAAGATGTGTCATGTGTATGTCCCAGCTCCCCACAGTAAATGGAATCATTATGTGTCATAAATACGATTAATAATAATGATGATGATGATGATGATGATGATGATAATGGGGAAGGGATCCTGTGATGGTGGGAGTGAGGAGAGAGGGGAGGCAAAGGGGAATAAAAAGTACAAGATCTGTTAATCCCTAAGATTAATGTAAACGTTATGTACTGTAAACACGTTCTACTAAAAATAGGATTACTTTTTGAATTTTTGATTCTTTCAAGATTTGATATGATTTTCTCTAAAACTATTTGATCCTGGAGTGCATTAAAATGAAGTTATATTTCGACTTCCTTCTTGCTCTAGTCTGGACCCAGAATGTCCCCCAAAGTCAGTGTGCTGCAGGCTTGCTCTCCATCCATGGTGCTACTGGGAGAGGTGGAAACTTAAGACAGGGGGCCTGTGAGAGGTTTTGCGTCATGGGAAGACCTCTGAAGGGAATCAGAACACCCTGGTCTCATCCTTTTTCTCTCCTTTTTGTATCCACGAGGTGAGCAGCTTTCCTCTGCCATGTGCCCCTCATCACAATGTACTGCCTCACCACAGGCCCAAGAACAATGGTGCCAACCAACCATGAGCCAAAACCTACACCACTGCAAGCCATGGTAAATCTTTCCCCTTTAAACTGATTACCTTAGGTGTTTTGTTACAGTAATGAAAAGATGACGAACACACTTCTCTTCAGTGGGTATTAGTCTATTTTGGTTTTCTCTTTTTGACTCAATTTTGATAATTGGTTTCCTGAAGAGGTGAAACTGGGCTTCAGAGTTTACTTTTACCTTGAAAAAAAAAAGGCAAATACTGTACATGCTCACCTGCAGTTATTCCAGATTTTGGAGGCCCCACAATTAAGATCCTAATAGGTATAGTAGGCTTAGGTTTGTGTTGGCTGATGTATTTTGGGGGTTCTTCGCAAAGTTTTCTTTAGTTTTCTTACTAGATAACAAATAATATACTGATGATGAACTACAGGATAAGTTGTATTCTCTACATTTCCATCCAGCTGAAATGTTTCTCCTGCATTTATGTGTACATTTGGATTGTGTTGCAAATGACTCTCTGCAAATAGAAAAAGTTATATAGGGTGTAGTATTACTGTAATACTCTTTAAAAATAAAATTAATCTGTAGAATAATTTCTAAGATTCTGGGCCAAGTAAAAAAACACCTTTTAGTCTTAAATTTATATTCATTTCCCCAGGTGCTGGGCATACATGTGTCTGATCACTTGCCACAGGGGTCAATCATGGTGATGCTCTGGCTTCCAGGCTGCCCATTTCCTAGTGTACTATACCTCCTTGATCCATTGGTTCCATTGAAGAGATAGTGTTTGGAGAAAGAAATATCACTTTCTATGGGAATGAAGACTTCCAAGAAAGGAAGACATGCAGGAGCACTGTCACCAAAAAGTGCAATTCTCAAGGGACGTTGTTTATTGTGTCAACAGCACTTCTCCATTTCAATGACAAAGCAGCTTAGTAGGGCATCTTGCAAGAGGAGCTGGACTATCCACAACTTTATGACTCCTGCAGTCCACTGGCACTGTGTGCTTATTAACATGCTTGAAGACCCAGGGCTTTAAGATCACAAAGGGTTTCAATTTTGCCCTGAAATCTGACTGCAACCTTGCCCCCAAACGAGATTACTTGCCTGTACTTCAAAGCTGTGAAAACTGGCAGTGACTCGGCTTCTTTATGTATGAAAGTCATTTTAGGAATCTCTTTCTAGAATATTGAGGATTTGCTCTGCCAAATAATGGTTCTCTACAGTCAGCTTCTCTGGGGCTCCCAAATATTATTCAGCTGTCTTCATATCAGCACTCACAGACTCAGCCCTCACTTTCTCATGATGTAATGAACAGTGATAGTTGAATCCTTTAAATCACTCAGCATGATCATCGTGCTGAAGTCCATCTTTTCCTTTGAAAATTGCAAGCAAACTTTGGGCTTTGACCATCATGGTCACAACAATGAAAAGGATATATTTCTGAGTCTATCCTTCAATCTAAGTCCTTAGCAGCCTCTCCATATCTCAGGTTGGGCCTCCTGAAACTTTTGTTGGTCTTGGTGCTTTTAATGATCCAGATGTTTAACAGCTTCTGTCGCTTTCTTTTTGTTCCTAAAAGTCATTGCTTTGGTGTTATGGGACAGGCCTGATGGACAATTAACAACTGTAGTGATTTTCAACCTCTTTATTACTTAATCATATTTAACTTTGTTTCCATGTCAACTGCTTGACATAGCTTCTTACTACCAACACTTGCAGTGGATTTCATATTCTTAGGAGCCATGATAAAAACAATAGCATGAGTTATATATATATCAAGGATTAGAAAAAGTGATGCAGTCAATACAATATGAGAGAAAGAAGAGATGTGTGAGGCTGTATACTGTTTTACACAGCATACTACTTTACAGTAAGCTTTAAATAAGTATAATGACCACACTAAAATAATGACCAAAAGTATGTATATGATTTTATGATCATTATCGTGTATTATGTGCTGTAGGTTTTTATATGACTGCAAGTGATAGGTTGGATTATCCCAGTGCCACCACAAGTGTGTGGACAGTGCAGTGTACTATGACACTGACTACAGCACCAATGGGCAATATGAATTTTTCAGCTGCATTGTGATCCCATGGACCCACGGTGACAGATGTGATCTGTCATCGACCAAAATATGATGCATCACATGACTATATTCTACAATATGTTTTCACCATAAATATTATCCTTAATAGGATATGCCAGGTACAGAAGAAAACACATTGTATTACTCAACTACATTAGATTCCTAGAAGACAAAACCCTGTGAAGCAAGTGGTACAACAGGTGGTACGGGGGAATGGAGAGAGGGAATCAGGACATACATAGCTATGAAGGATCATTAAAAAGTATTTATTTCCTACTTTCCTCTCTTCATTGATCTAAAAAGCAATTGTATGAAATATGTGCATAATTTTACATTTGATCCCATAACATTGACACAGAGTTGTACTGGAGAGAGGAGAAGCCACCAGAAGTAACTCAGTTCTACATGAAAAAATGAAAAGAACCATAAAGGATAAATTAGAAAGTTGATAGAATTAACTAAATTAACTACATAAATATATGCTTATTCTTTTATTTCTCAAGTTTTTATACACATAAAACTGTATTAGGCAGAAATTCTATTCTGCAGCTTATAACATATATAGATGTGGAAAAAATAAAACACAAAATTAAGGTGGAAGAAACTGAAAAAGAATAATATTTCTACGTCTCACTGCAACTAAGATAGTATAAATTTGAATTATATTCTTATCAGCAATGTTTGATGAGGTAAAACATAGGTGAAAACACTAAGAAAATAGCTTGTATACTGAAAATGAATGTTTGTCATATATAAATTGCATCTAATACATTGAAGCTGTATAAAACCCAAAACAAGTAAAGAGGCTAAAAGAAGACTGAAGGAAAAACAGATCTCTTTTCAAGGATTTAGAGTCAGAGCCAGTTTTGTAACAGCAATCGTCTAATAATAAATGGCTGTTTCAAAAGGGCTGCAACAAGTGTACTTTATGCTCATAAACATTTTTTACCAAGACTCATCGGAAGCTGTTTTCAAATTAACACAAACATAGTCAAAATGGGTGAGTCTATCAACAGTTTCTATCAATGGATGCTTTCTCAAATTATCAGAAGGACTATAACTGACGAGAAGCCTGGGTTTCACTCTTTTTAAGAAGAGAATGACTCTCTCTTCATACTTTTCTTTCCTGTGTTGGCTGAGGAGTGGATACGGCAGGAGCAGTGACATAGGAGGAGAAGGAAGTTGCAGGCAGGGGGCAACAGAACAATCTGCTCCCTCGAGTGACCTCCTGGAGAAGCGTCCCTGCCTTCCACGGACACATGGTTCCTTCTGGGCTGTCCTGCCAGAGACAGGGACATATCACCACATTTAATTCACTGAATTTTAAGATTTCTTTGTAACAAGCTATGTGATTGTCATCTGAATGTCCCATACATCCTTTCTCAGTTTTCTGGAATCACACATTTTTCACAATTTTCTTTCAAGAGTGCAGCCCTTTGAGAAAGAAGCACCTGGTGTATATTCTATCACTGCCCCTAACCACCATAGGTGGAATTTGGTCTTCATCTCATGTCACACATCACAGCAGAACCGCGAGGTAAACTTTATACTGTCCACATTTCACTTTGTCCTTCTGAATTTCAAAGCCCACTTTTAAAACTTCAAGAACTCTGCTTTCAATCAGAAAACAGCAATTGAGGCAAATTAAACATTCTTGTTATTAGAATCTTGTAGCTATTATGAATTTATAAAAGTCCACTGGAATACTCAAAAGGGAAAATTTATCAGTAATCATTCCCAGCATATTCCTCCTATGGATAGGTTCTGTAGGATGCTGTCTCAATGATGTTAGCAAAAGAAAAAATGATAACGTGGATTTTAGAACTTGAGTAAGTGGAAAATACAAATTTCTGAATATGACCAAATGTAATCCTACAAAAAATATACCCCACATTTGAAATTTTCAACATCTATTCCACTTCTGTTGTATTGGTCTGCATGAGTTCTCTGGTTCTTATGCTGTTTCCTTGACAACTGGGCAGACAGGGAGGACCAGGATGTGCTGTCAGTCAGCTCTCCCTGTCATCATGGCTGGTTGCTCACAATGCACTTGCATTACCTCACTGTCCCTTCTACTTGTGCATCCAGAGTGGCTGGAGCCAGTGAGGCAAAGCATTAAGGGACCTGGAGAAGTCTTCCACACCGTCTTCCTGCATAGTTGGCAGAGTCCTCACCAGAGCATGCATTCCTGCTCCTTCTGGAACTTCCCTCAC